CACTATTTTCGTGTAAAGTGTTCAATTGTCTATCGAATTGGTCTCTTGCAAAATTTGGATTAAAGCAACCATTTTTAAGAGAAACACCTTTGTAGAAAATTTGTAAATCCAATTTTATTTTCATTCATTTTAGTTTCACATAGTAGGCTTGTGCTATTCAAAATAAAATTAAACATCGCCTGTCACTAATGTCATTGTGTACAAGTGAGTTAAGTAAACTAGATTATAAGCTTCTTTTTATCATTTTTACGCTTTAATTTTACATAAACTTTAACGCCCTGTATCTCGTTAAAGGAGGCATTTGCGACCCTATGTTTATTAAGACTTTTCGTCTTAATTTTTCAGGTATTACTTACCCTAGAAGTCTGTCAGCGGAAAAAAAATCTAAACCTTTGTACTCTTGAATATTTTTCTTATCTTTTTTATTTTTAGTTATTTTCAAAAATATGCATTCTAAACCGTTTAAACTTTTATAATATATTGTTAGCACATAAAAATATAAATTGTAGAATTGTACCTTTAATTTTAAATCTTGTGAAAAATTCATCAATTTTTGTACTGATTTTTTTTCCGAAAAAGCGAATTAACAGCGAATTTTTATGCTAATGACTTAAAGTTCATTTTAAAGATTTTTTTAAGTAGGTACTTTAAAAAATGTTCTGTGTATTTTTCTTGAATTTTTTTTTTAGTTAAATGCTTCGAATTTAGTTTTTGGCGGACATGAAATTATATTCAACCAGCCGTATCTCAGAACCTATTGCACCTACATAAATGAAAAAAAACTCATCTTTTTATTTTTCTATAAGCTCCATTTTCTTCGTGTTTTTTTTTTCATAGAATGTCTATTTTCCGAGTTATTCCAGAAAAACTACTGAAAAAACGTCTTTTTTTTAATAAAAAATGTACATATTCAATCACCAAATAACTCGGAAAATATTGTCTTATCGAAAAATGATGATAAGATACTTTTTGCTTAAAATTGATTTCTTTATCGATTCCTGGGGTGATTTTCAATATTTTATTTTTCATCCTCTGGGCAAAAGCACTATCGGCATTATATAACTTTCGTTTCTTAAGCTATTTTCTACTTACAGTCCAAGCTTCACTTTAATCGGTTGGTTCCCTGGACTGGTATTTCTGCCACACTTTTTGGCGCAAAGGTTTATTACATTTTTTTTCTATGGACATGAAAATATAGGTATCAAATGGTAAATCAGGTCTACATGCCTATTTGTGGCTTTTGGTTAGCTTTCTCATTTAATTATTTTTATTCACAATCCCACAAAATAAAAACCGTACGAACAAAATTAGCAAAAAGGCGAAACTCATTAAATCTTTGTCTTATATGCATTTATAAACTGATAAATTCTTATGTGGCGTTTCTTTTTTTTTTAGTATATGTGCGGGCTTTAGATTATCCAGAAACGACTCTCTCCATCAACCTAATCGATCCTAAGGATGTAATAGTTTTAAAGGGACAAGGTACGACACTAAGGTGTGACGCAAGATCCTCCTCAAAGGGCTTAGAGGTAAGCGTGTTGGTATAAATTGGTATCGCTTCAATTTCCTTAGCTCTAAAGTCACATCCATGGAAACAAAACGAATACATTTTCTCTTCAAGGTAACTTGGTTGCATAATAGTTCTCCAGTACCCTCGAATGACACTAGATGGAGCCAGCAGGAAGATGGCTCCCTCTACGTACCGAAAATTCTCTCAGGGAAAAGAGCCAATGGGGTGACTGGAGAATACCAATGCCTCGTTAGGAATAGAGTGGGCGCCTTACTTTCAGGGGTGGCAAAGTTGAGGGTTGCATGTAAGTCAATTCAAACTTGTCCAAAAATGTTAGTCGTCATACGCAATACAAAAATTGGTTTACAAGAAAATTTAATTTTGAATGTACTTTTGCATGAAAGTGAATCAAGTAACCAATAACTAAAAACATTTTTATGAATTTGCTCGCCTGAAAATTTTTTTCGTCGTTTTACAGGTACAAAACGTAATTTAGTTTTGAAAATATTGCAGTAATGCGGAAAATAATTTATTAACAAATTAATTCACACTGAATATACAGGCTATTTTCTAAATTTCTGTCAAAACTTGAGAAAGGTTCTTCTTGGGTCAATTTTAAACCAAAAAGCCAGAGGCGGAAGCCACTAGTTCTAACTGTTTTTACATTATTCGAAGAAACATCATTTTCTTAGTTTAAAATAAACTTTTATCCAATACTATTTGTTTTACATGAAAATAAAATTCTATACAATTTTCTGTAAACTGATTAGTTTAGGTTTACTTTAGATCCTCGATCTGAAAAAGGCTTTTTAGTCTAAAATTACCCAAATTATGACATGGACTTAAAAAACACTCTCGCAGACTTTCAGATGTTACGATCTCGTGTAAAAATCAAATACGTTTATTGTAGCAATGGATCGCAATTTCACCAAGAACCCGAACAACCTTTCTGTCCCGGAATCTCAACCGGGCGTTCTTCAATGCAGCATACATTCAGTACCTCCTGCTGAAATTCAGTGGGAATTCAATAATCAACCTCTACCTCAGCACACAAGGTATATAATATGATAATTACATCCATACGTTTAAATAATAAATAACTAAATATTTATTGTTTTTTTGCCCTTATAAGTAAAGATATCATTTGTTTTTAGATATGTTCCTCTGCCCAACGGGGCTTTGTTAATTTCAAAAACTCAGTTTTCCGATGCAGGATCTTATAGGTGAGTGTTTTCAGATGACGTGGTTAATTGTCTGTTTTATTATCCCATGAATTTATTCCAACTTTTTTAAAACATTTTTTAGATGTAAAGCAACAAATAATATACTTAATGTTACTAAGTACAGCAGAACAGCTCTACTGACAGTGTCCCCAGCATTGAGGCAGTTGACGGCACCGACTTTTCTACCTCTTGACATTTCACCCAATAATACCGTTTACGTTGGTGAAAACCTAAATTTATATTGTGCTGTGATGGGCTGGCCTATACCGACAGTACAATGGCTTAATAGTAAGTACCGATACCATCTGTAAGCACTTGACGACTTTTATATTCTTTAAGGCCACAGAGTAGTAGTAAGTAACAGGACCGATCTGCCGATAAATACCTCCAAGGCTCTCGTGTCAGACAATTACACTTGTATGGCCTACAATACCGTNCAACAAAAAGTAATTTGAGTTTCAAACTAACTCCATTTTATAAAAAATCTGCGTTGGAATGGAGGAAAGTCTGTTATTTCTGCATTAATTCATATTTAGACAGACTGTGTAATAAAATCTATAAAAATGTATTGCTGGTTGCCTATTTGCTATGGAACTCTCTTAAAGCACTGTGTTTAGCCTGTACATATATATTTTTTTATGGCAAATGAACCACAGTAGGCGAGGGATTATACAAATACTTAGCATCTTTTTGTTTGATTGTGAGGATTTTCGGCACCACTTTCGCACTAATTTATTGCGTGTTCAAATTCTCGTGTAAAGTTTGCCTTATGCATCTTTTGTGAATTCGTACAATTTCAGCAATAGTACGAATAGTTAACCGATGGTCGGATCGGATCAGATTTGCAATTTTTTCAATATTTTTATCCCTTTTTGACGTGGTAAGGTGACCCTGGCGTGCGTCATCTTCAACGTCTTCTCGATCATTTTGGAAAAAATTAGTCAAAAACCTGCGAACGTGATAAATGTTCATTTTCATATACTTCTCTAAATAAAATATAAGTTTCAGTAGCGGTTTTTTCAAATTTCATGACAATTGATTGCTCTATTACAACACAGCATTTTTCTGGCAGAACAAAAAATAGATCTTATACGAACGAAGGCAACGGCCAAACTAATATGTCTACAGACACGGTAAAGGCGACAATTGAAAGAAGCTTTACGCTTTGGCACATGTAACGTCAGTTTCGTTATTTTATAGCCACACCTCGTACGATCGCTTTAATTTTCACCAGCCAGCACCAGATTGTACGACAGCGTTAAAATAGTCGCTGCAACTCTCGTTATCAAAAATCCGGAAACGAATGCTAACAATCCACCGAATCTTCGATTGAAATTTGTTACCGTTTATCGTTTACGTATTTTTTATCGCAGTATTGTTCACGTTCAGTATGCGTTTTGAATTCGTTTGCAGAAGTGTTATTGTTAGTGTTGTGAACGCAGGACCCGGATCCAGTCGCGAGGAACATCGGATTAAAAAAATTTCTCATCGTAAGTTGGTGTAACCCAATATTACTCTAACTATAATAATGTCTATAGTTGAAATACCGGTACCTGAAAAAAATTACATATAGTTAGTATTAAGTAAGAAATATTGTATAGTTATATTACTGTTCTCGTCATATACAGAAAATGAACAAATATTGTCGAAAACGTAAAACTACTGGCTGGAAAACTCGCATGCGCCCGCGCTCACGAGGCAGGACCGTCGTCATTTGAATCTCAGTTCTGTATATGACAGGTGTACGAGCATGCGTGAATGGTGTATATATAGATAAGTGTATAGTTGTTGAATATGATGTTAAATGTTACATAAACAGAAAAAAACGGTGTTGTTTGTTCTATATTAGACGTTACCACAGATATTTATTAATTTAAATATTACCCAAAGATATTCCGTTGTTAATGAAAATACAATAACGTACAAAATTTTTATGAACTGTTATTTGCGTCACAGTTCCGTGTGGTGTGTGCCTTTTATATTGTACAAAACAACGATTAGTTCTCTTAATTCTTAACTGTCATACGTGGGAGTAGCGTTTCTTTTTATAGTTACCAGTTTTTTTTCCTCTCTCTTTCAAACAGGATACCTAACATCGTGGAACATTGTTTTTAATAGGAACGAAATGCTCAAATAATATAAAGACCGCACGTTACAAAAAAATCTAAAACGTAAGCTTCCCCCATTTCACACGTCGCTATTTTTGGATCTCTCCCTCTCTCTCCTTCCCCGATCATACTATAGAACGGTTAAATACTTAATATTTTCAGGGTTGTCAATATTTATATACCTCATGATAACATTCCTTGTCAAGAACAATAAGTATTAGAAAGGCCGCTTTTTTGAACAGTTACCTTGTTTTCATTTTTTTTCTCTCGTTTACCACCGACATTCCAGTTTCACCCGTACAAAAGTTTAAAGCAATAGTTGTTCATTTATCGGTTTACCGTCGCCTCCTATCTCACGATTAGTAACTAGGATGGAAAAGTATTGCATAGCTCGTCTTCTGTTAACAGTTACCGCCTGAAATATCGATTAAATCAAAAACCCGACCAGACGTCGACCTCCGACACGCACTAAATGCAGTTGTTCGCTTGTTCACTACCACCTATGGCCATTTTATTTCGGTTTTATTATTTAAACCGTTTATATGTACCAGGGTGTATACCAACCCAGATGACCGAATTTCATGAATTTTAGGTTCACGTTCTTGTGATTGATTTAAAACTGTCGAGTCATTTGATTTTAGACTTTCTGAAAGTACGTGGCCGATTATATCTGGTAGTTTGAAAACAGTTTGAGACTGTTGTCGGAACAAACAATTAGTCCACCGGCTGTCGCCACTGACTGTCACATCAGGCGCCATTTTGATTTTACTGTTTCTATGTACAGTCCGTACAATATTTGCTGAGATATATTTCCAAGAAAATAATAAGCCAATAAAGTTCTGCTATCGGAACTACTGTAACAATTTACCGCTTACCATTTAAGGAGAAAAAAGATCACGAGGGTCAACTAGTCATTCAACATCTTTCTTTATTTCGGTTATTTTGGGTGACGATCGTATCACGACAACTTTAAACCAAGTGAACGAATATTTGCCATTGCGTCGGGTAATTTTTTTATTAGAAATCTTCCCGTATACAGGACGATTCGTTAACAATGGGAAAATCGAAAGCTGAAGACACTACACGCGGAACGGTGGCTGTTAGCGCAAACATGCCTTATTCGAAAGTTGATAATTTCGGAAATACAGGGTGTTGAAAGTTAAAATTTTAAAACGTTTTTTTGCGATTATTCTGAAAATATGTAGATTGTTAACTCGAAAATTTGTGAAACTATATTTTTTTAAGCGACGAATAACCAATTTTACTGAAAAGTTAGTTAATAACTTTTTGCCCTGTATGAAACTTGATTCAAAACCTGAAAGAGCAATCATTTTTCCATTAATTATGTACTCTAGTGTCATTTCGGTATCTCGATCCGTTTTCGAGAAAAATTGATTTAACGAACATTACGTTTTGATAATACGAGAAATTAAAAGCGAAACAAAGTGTTTCTTCATGTTATTACAACAATTAACGATAAAATAAATGAAATACGTTATAATGATTTAAAATAATTGTTCGAAGAATCCACCGTTGGCACTGATACACTTTACACAACGTTTTCTGAGAAATCTTCGAGTTTGAAACAACATATTGGGAGTGCGTCTGACGTCGTTGGCAGCGATTTGTATTCTTTGCCACAACTCTTTACGCGAACCAATATTCCTAACCTTCATATTTTCAGAATAATCACAAAAAAACTATTTAAAATTTTAACTTTCAACACCCTGTATACCCAAAACTATCAACTTTCGGATAAGGCATGTTTGCGCTAATGGCCACCATTTTACTTGTAGTATTTTCAGTTTTCGATTTTCCCATCGTTAGTGAATCACGCTGTATAAATGTGATGCTGTGGCTACATTTTGTCATCGTTCCCTGTAAATTAAGAGTGTTTCGACAAGTTTATTGTTTTCGTAAACACGTGTCATTGTTTAAAAAATGGTTATAACAGAAAGTGGCAACCAAGAAAGTCATTCTTCGTTGAGTTTATAATTAAATTTATTCTAATATCATTAAATTAAAGATTTTAGAATTTAGTCAAAAATTTATCGAAAACCTTTAAAATTTATTACAAGAATTTTTTGTCTTCTATAAAGTTTTAGGTTACGTTTTTTTCCATTCGGTGGAAATTTTATAACAGTCCCTTCAATTTTTGCAAGAACCATGCTTTGTTAAATATTTACGTGGGAAATACTGTTAAATAATTTGGTGGTCAATGAAAAATGTAAATTTTTCAAATTTACCCGGAAGATCTGTCGGTGAATTTTATGGTAAAAATTTGGTATACACCCTGTATGTAATCGATTTAATGGATAGTGAACGACCCGGTACCATTAACCTTAATGCTGTTTAACCTACTAAAATAACTGTTACATTTCGTCCATTTTATTTCTTTATAGCGAGGTTCTCAGTCACCGTTCTGAAAAGGCGACTTGATGTGCCATTGTCTAAAATTTACAAATTAATTTGTACGTTTTCATTAGAATATATTAATATGTTTTTTAATTTTACATGCCAAAGATTGCCAAAAATTTATTTTTACAGTGTTGTTTACAAACCAAAAATATTTAAAACGACCGTTAGTCATTTGATCTACCAATAATTTTATCAATAGTTATCAGACCGTTATTATTGCTTAAAATTTAAAATATATTAATATATTTAAATTTACGTGTTTAGATGTAAACGAGTTTTAAGTCATTTGGGGTTTTTGATTTAAATGACATTCAGAGATAATTCTTATCCGGCACCTTCAGTATCTGTCGAATCAGTCTTATTTTCGAATATACAAATGACGACTTTTATTTTCAACCAAAATTAGTAATATTTAACTTCCAATAATTTGTTCAAATACTTATATACTGTTAAATCAG